ATATACAATGACAGCTCGAGCCAAGGTTGGGATTGTGCACCACCTTACACTAACTCTGACGGCACCTATAAGGAAGTCGGCAAAATCTTGGCAGCATCCTAGTGGAAAGTGGAGTCCAAACAAGCGATCGTAATGTAGGGTTTTAATAAATTTTGGTTGACAGGAGGTGGAAGAGAGAAAAGGCTAAAGAGAAGGAAGATTGGAGAAAGGCAGCGAGCTAACATAGGAGAAAATTAAGAAGCGGCAATAGAGGAGCCAATTATGTCTACTCACCAAGTTATTATATTGCCGCAATTACGAAGATGAAATCCCTCAAGCTTTAACTCTAGCAACATGGCTCATGTAGGTCCATTAATAGGCAACTCCCCATCTTTGGTGTTAATACAATGTTGCAAAATATGCTCTTTGCAAAAAAGAAGACATGAGAGACTGTTGAAACCAGCTGAAGGAGAGAAGGCTTCCAACAAGGGGAGCTAGACGAGGCAACACCGGTGCAGATCGGAGACCAAAGAGGTCTCGACGAGATGTCAAGTGCTACATTGATTGTGATTACTGGTTAAAGAAAAAAAAAGTTAGATGAAGGAAATACGGTGACGGCGACAAATCATCAAGGCGAGATCAAAGAAGAATGGGATGTTCAATCATCCCTTACAATAGCAAAAGAGACCGAACTGATAAGCTTGTGATTGGCCTACGAAAAAACATGACAATTGGAGGAACCTGAGGAGCTAGCGCTCAGCACAGTTTATAGCTCTGAAGTCATCTATACAACTGAGACTGGATTGTTGACTCAGGGTGCTCTAATCATATGATAGGAGACAAAGCTAAATTCCTCATCTTGGTTGAGTACAAGGGAGGCAAAGTTCTTGTTTCAACAATAATGCAAGGTTGCCTATCACCCATGTATGCCTCGATTTAGTACAGGAGAGGCCCAACTACAAGACGTGCACCATTTGCCAGGAATGAAGAAAAAGTTGCTGTCAGTATCACAATTGACAACAACTGGCAACTTCGTCATGTTTGGCCGAGATGATGTCAAGGTGTGTCGAAGTTGAAGTTGCCAGACCAGTCAATTATGAAGGGCCAACAACTGAACTTTGTATTCGTAATGTCAACTGAGCCAGCTTATGTATAGAAGGCTCGACGAAGCGAGAATGCCGATCTATGGCATGCTCAGCTAGGACACGAAGGATTCTGCATGCTAAAGATTATGATGGATCGATCAATGTTGAGGGGACTTGCTCAGCTAGAAGTCCAAACATATGTTGTGTGTATGTGTTGTTAGTTTAACAAAGCTCATCGACAACCATACACTGAATCAAATTATCAAGCTACAAGGCTACTGGAGATTATCCACTTAGATATAAGCAACACTTGGTCAAAGGAATGAAATACATGCTTACTTTCATCAATAACTATTCAATGTATGTATGGGTGTATCTAATGAAGGAAATGTCAGAGATCTTCAAAAAGTTCAGAGAATTTCAAACAAAGGTCGAGGGGGAGATTGGTAAGAAGATTTGGTACCTATACACTGACAATGGAGGAGAGTACACAGATGAAATTCTCATCCTATATAAAGAAGGCTAGCATTCGACGCCAACTAACCTGTCCCCACACCCCACAGTAAAATGGATTAGCTGAACGGAAGAATCAACACTTGGATGATACATGCAGGAGTATGTTTCATGCCAAAAACATGTTAGGTAGATTTTGGGGGGAGTGTATGAAGAAAACTCATATCATTAATCAGTTACCTCAACTAAAATTGGGATTTATCTCATCATACGAGAGATTATGGAAGATCAAATCGATTGTAAGTCATTTCAAAAGTATTTGGTTGTATATGCTATGTGCTTATTCCAAAACATTTGCCCAACAAGCTCGAGAAGAAGATGGTATGGTGCATATTTGGGGGATATGACACCGAAATGAAAGGGTGGAGGTGTTGTGACCCCACAACCGAGCGATGCTACACATCATGGGATGTGGTGTTCGATGAAGTGTCGCCTTGGTGGACTTTAGAAATTGTAAAAGTATCAGATACTGGAGACAAACAAAGACCAAAGACCGATGAGACTTTGGAAGGAGAGCATGACGAACCAAACCAGAAGAATGAGATGTAGCACAACTCACCAGTCACACCAAGAAGATCTTCCAATTCACGGAGAGATGGTATCCACCAAACAAGGACACTTGAAGAGGCTCGACCATGTCAAATAGAACAGATCGTTGAAGAGCCACAACTACAATGATTCAAACAGAGAAAAAAACTAAATCTTAAATAAGTGGATGTTGTACTAGTTGAGGTAGATGATGTACGAGAAGTGGTTGCATACAAAGATGTCCGTCAGAGTACAAACTAGCAAAAGGCCACAACAGAGGAAATCTTCGCAGTAGAAAAGAACTAGACTTGGGATTTGGTTCCTAAATCGAAAGGGGTAAAACTTATCTCTTGTCGATGGGTGTACGAAGTAAAGACTCGTAACGATGGGTCAGTTGAAAGATATAGGGCTAGACTAGTGGCCCAAGGCTTTTCATAATAGTATGGGATCGACTGTGAGGAAACTTTTAGTATTGTGGCGAAAATCACGACAATGCGTGTACTGACAGCAAGCAAGTCGCGGAAATTGTGGCAGATGGATGTAAAGAATGCCTTTCTTTATAGAGAGGTCGATCGACACATCTATATAGAGCAAAAAAAAGGTTTCGAGAGTAGGAATTGACTAAATTATGTATGCGAGCTCAATACTACCTTATATGTACTAAAATAGACACCGAGGCCCTAGTATGACAAGATTACGGTGTTGCTATGTAGAATGGATACTATGTCACACCTGTTGACTCAAGCATGTTTGTCAAATTCAAAGATGACCGACTATCTATTATATTTGTCCATGTTTACGCTGAAGAAATCTACCATATAAAGAAGAATATGCCAGTTAGATTTGAGATGGAAGAGCTTAGGAAGCTCAAACATTTTTTGGGTCTTGAAATTGATGATCGAGTAAAGGAAGGGCCATTCTTTTGTGTCAACAAAAGTACACTAGAGACCTATTACAAAAGTATGGTATAATCGACTACAAACCAATATCGACACTACTGGAGACAAACGTGATGCTAAGTGCAGATGAAGGAGAAGGTCTCAAGGACCCAACCATATAGAGACAAATTGTCGACAGCTTGATCTATCTGACATTGACTAGGTTTGACATTGCACATGCAATTAGAGTGGTCAGCCGATTCATGCAGAATCCAAGGAAACCTCATTTAGAAGCCGTTCACAGAATTTTTCGATACATCAAAACTATCGCTGACTACGGATTGTTGTGTGAGAGGGAAAAATAGGAGTTGGTTGGAAATTGTGATGCCGACTTTACCGGTGACCAAACAACTTGCGATCTACTACTGGGTATTATTTCAGTATCAGATCAACAACAATCTCTTAGTGTAATAAAAGACAACCCACTTTCTCCTTGTCAACCACCAAAGCGAAATATAGATATAAAACAATGGCTGAATAAGAACTTTTAATATAATGATTAAAGAGAGAGAATATGTAATGAGTGATAAATGAGTGTCTAATAATTGTGATGAATTATTTTTTATGGGATTATTTCTTTCTCTAGTTTGTAGATGTATAAACACTAATTTTACAGGAATTCTGGCACGTATCTGAGCCTAGAAAAAATCCTACACTGTAATTATATTCAAATTGAGATCTAGAATAAAGAGCGATTAGTGTCGAATAACGACTTATTGAGCTGTATTTATCCAATCCTTTGTCATAATAATTGAATGGGGGTACTTAATATATAACATGTGTGAGCGAAGAGAACAAGTCTGGCATGGGTTAGAGAGTGTGACACCTGAGATAAGATGAATTCGACTGCTCCATGAGTTAGGTCCATCTGATACAAGCAAGTTTAGCTTGCCCAGTGTAACTCGATAGGTTTGAGCAGTCTAGAGTCCGAAAAGGTGTCTAGAGTCGTGAAAACCTATACTACAGGCCTCCGCCCAATAAACCTAGTTTCCAAAGAGGGTTTTGGAGTTATTTTTTTGTTAAGGTCAAAGATAGTCTTGTGAGATGCCAGGAGGAAGATGGACTCTCACGTTTTGCTGAAAGCATGTGAGGACGAGGGCTCCTCAACATTATCACCTGATGGCATATGCGGGGGTCCTGTTGGTAAGTTTCCCACTAATTTCCTTTTATTTCATTATTTTTATTTTTTTGAATGCTTTGACCTGATTTTAGTTTTAGTTTTCAATTTTAATTTTAAATTTGTTTTATTTTTCTTTATTTTAAAATTTTAAGGTTTTAGCCATTTGAGCAAGATCTAGTCGGCAATACTTACTGTTTAGAACAAAGGAGCAGTAAGTCTCGCAACTGCAAACTATGTTTTCGCTAACCCTGATCTTTTAATTTTTCATATGATAGTTTTTTTTTGTTTTCACCCAAATCAGATAGGGTAAGTTTTGAACATCATAAGCTTTATTTAAAATAGAACCGATAGATTCAAATATAGGAGGGAGTGATTCACTTCACTTCGGCATCAATAAAAAACCTAAAGATTTTATCCAAAACTAGGCGAATTTGATAGAGCTCCTGTTAAATTTGTCCCAAACTACCAAACAAGTCGACCTGCAATTTTAAAAGAATCAAGCTTGGGCTTGAATGACTCAAGTATCGATTGCTATCCTAGGTCCCTACTTCGAATCCATGGGCTTTAATTAAAAAGAACAAAAAAGAAATTCAATATATATATATATATATATATATATACACGTTTTTTTGAAAAAAATGACAGCAAAACATTCCAAATTTTTGACAATGAAATCCCGTGAAAAGCTAAGATCCTGAAGACAAATTTGAAATTATTTGTTGTGAAACAAACGAGTGAAACCAGCTCAACCGTGAAAAGGTAGGAAAGTTTCGTGACTTTGCCCTATATGTTCACGGTTATCAAACTACCCAACACAAGAAGTAATTTGCGTGAGAGAGTAAGTGTATACAGTACTCCTTCGGGAGTACGCTCCATGCGCGAGAAAAGATGAGAGGCTGAGGGAGCCGCAGCGAGAAACTTCTGGTCAGAATTGGGGTAAGCCATGAACAGAAGAGTGAGGAACTGCTGGTGGGCAAGGCGCTATAATTGTTGGTCTGGAAACCCTAGAGAGAGAGAGAGAAGCTTAGAGAGAGACAGAGATGACTGCGCTTCCTCCGAGCTCTGCCGGGTGCTCCTTTGGAAGGCCAATTTCGAACAACAACTGCCCAAAATCTTGCAGAGCTCTCTCATCCATTTCTACATTGAACCCACGTTCACCATTTCTCAAAAGAGGTTGGTTCTTTTTCTTTTTCTCATTCTCCTCCTCCTCCTCCTAGAATTCCTAGTCTTTTAATATTGTAACCGTTGCTTTTTTCTTTTCTCAGTTTCCCATTTGTGGATTCAGTTTGTTTGAATTTTTGGATGAAATATTGTCCGATTTTCTTGTTTTTCAACTATGGTAAATCGTTGTACTCGAATGAGGTAATGAACAATGGTGATGAGAATCAGGGGAAATAAATGGAAAAATAATCATGATTGCCTTGCCATTTATTTCCCCACCATTGGTCTTTACCTCGTATTGAGTACAATGGTTCGCTAGAGAAAAAGGAATTTGAGAGTTGTGAAAAATGGCGCGGAATTGGTTGGTATTGATTTTGATAAATCTGGAAAAATTGTGGTCTTTAAAGTCCTCTAAGGCTCTAAAATATGAATGTGAGTATTGTGTTGCTATGCTTCTTTTTTCTTTCTCTACGCTTTCTTCATTTTAAATTTTTGAACGCCAACAACATTATCTCAGACACTGAGATATTAGTTTCTATCATGACCTAGAGCTCAATTGGCTTTGTAGAATGTCATGGACATTGGAATGAATGTGGTGTCTTAGTTGCACGAATTGACGACAAGTTCATTTTTTCAAATGAATAAGGGCATATTGGTATCTGGGATGTTGGAAATTTTAGATTATATTATCTCAAATGAAATAATTGCTCATGGAAATCCTCACCTCATGTGGATGTGTATCAGTATCTAAAATGTATAATCTCCATGTTTTTCTGCATTATCCCACACACAACCCCCCCCCCCCCCTTTTTTTTCTGATCTTTGAAATGAAGGCAAATAGTTGGGATAAGGCTTGGATGATAGTGATGATGAACAAAATCCCGTTGTTCATCTTGCTATCCAAAATGCTGCTATTGGGATATCGACATTTTCTAAAAGACTTAAGGTATTCAAGTCTAATGCTCAATTTTTTTCCACTGTTCCTTTGTGAAAACCATGATACAAAGACACAGATACTTTGTCAGCATCTGACATGGATCAAACATGTGCTGATTGCTGAATACTAATTCCATGCATGGCAAATTACATAGGTGAAAAAAATGCCAAGGATGAGATCAGCGTCTTAGAATTTTTTTTTGTAGATGTTGAGACTATGTCATTTATCAGATGATCAGCATTGCATAGTGGGTTTGAATCACACACCAGAATGGATGGAGAAATGGGAATTGCGTGTTGTTAAAAGCTCCATGTGACGCATATGTTGGGGAGTAGAAACCCTTTGCTCTAAATAGAAAAGAGGGACTACCCATGATATATTCAAAGGACTTCCCTAATAATTTATCATGTAATTCACATGTGTCAAGGGCTTCATATTTGTGTTTTTAAGTATTAAAAAATTCAGCCGCCTGGCCGCCTCGGCAGTCTATACAGGAAGCCGAACTAGATGGCCCTAGGTGGGCGCTCTAGGCGGCCACCTTTTTCCCTAGGCGTGCATTTAGGCAAGCTTAAGGCAGGCACCTAGGAGGGCCACGGTGCCCATCTAGTGCCATCTTGTCAAAATAAATAATAAAAATAAAATAAAATAAAGACATAGCCCTGTTTTAAAAAACTATTTTTTTTTGTTTGAAATATGTAAACTTTTTATATATTGGGTAAATAATTTACAAGGTGCTTAATTTACAGACAACATCCCACAAATTGGGAGATCAGACTACAACAAGTAAGAGGTTTATATAGAACCGAATGTTATACAAGGAAGAGGAAGGGGGTTTAGTAATTAAAGAGGTTTTATATAGGGCCCGAATGTTATACAGGGAAGAGGAAGGTGGTTTAGTAATTAAAAAAGCCTAACAAGGTGGTCGAAAAATTTTGTTAAAAAGTCTTCAAAACCATACAGGCCTGAAACCACTAAAGATGGGAAAATTACAAAAGGAATTTAAGATGGAGAGGGATGCTTCTGTTGGTATACTAGCTGAGCTTCTTGCGGGGATATATTGGTGCGTGGTTGTATCTTATAAACTTGTGAATCAAGTGTTAAGACGGGGCCTTGATGGGCACCACAGAGGTAGTCCCAGTGAGCAAGAGAGGGGTAAAAGGGGAGAGAGTCTGTTGAGTGGTCTGGTCCGATCTCAAAGCAGCCTTCTTTTGTGGCAACAAGTCAGCAGGGCAAATATAGACCCAGTGAGGGAGGGGAGGGAGGGGAGAGATTGTGGGCTCGTCCTGCGTGGAACAATCCTCTGCTACAACTTTCTGCGACTCAGAGATACTCGTAGGGTGTGGGTGGGGGAGAGGGTGAGTATAGGATACACTCAAACTATGGATGGAATAAGAGAGAGAAAGAGAGGATAAGCTGAGGAGGAGGAGGAGAGTTAGAGAACAAATCCAAGGAGAGAGGTAGGGGAGGGATGTAAGATGAGAAAGGGGCTTGTAGAGGAGAAGAAACTAGATGAAGAGGGAGAGGAGGAGAAGTGTTAGAAAGAAAAAGCCATGGAGAGGAGAATTAGAGAAGAAAGCTGTAGAGGGGGCAGATATGAGAGAAGAAACATGATGAATAGGGAAGAGAGCTCTGAGACGTAGAGATATAGAGAGATAGAAAGACTTCTGTAAAAAATCGACAAATTTGTTCCTTTTTTTTTCCCTTTTTTTTTCCTTTATTTTTTCCTTTTCTTCTTCCTTTTTTTCTTCCAACCTTCTTTTTTTCCCCTTCCATAGCTTGGATGAAATTGGGGAGGGGGGGGGGAGAGAAAGTTGAATGAGGGGGGAGAAGATTAGGAGAGATAGAGAGGAGAGAGGGAGGGATAGGTTTCAAGGGAGGACTTGTGGGAGGGTGCTGCAAATGAAAGAAATATGCTCAAACATTGAATTGAGCCTCCAGGGGTGATCCTATAGCCCAAAGGATGGTGGTTTTGGAATTTGATTCTACAATAATCCCCTGAGCATTGCAACCCATAAGTGCAACCTTCTTGAGGCCTTAGAGTAGGGCCAAAGCCTCTGCATATGTGGAATCTTTGAATTTGAAAGTAGCCCTCCAATATCATGGATTCCTTATGGAAGAGCCATCTACATTTAGTTTTAGAAAACCAAGGGGTGGGGGTGTGACCAGAGAGGCCGAGGTCTACTTGAAGGGGTAGATAGGTTAAGTAAATAGTCTCAGTTTGTCAAAAAGTGGAAGATTGGGATGTTCGCAAAAATAGGTGTTGGTTTGACCCAAAGGGAGATTATGATTGATAGCGTTTCAACAATAGATTGCTGGGTTTTTAGTGTGCCTCTAAGAGTTCTTGCATTTTTCTCTATCCACAAACTCCATAGTAGAGTCACAATAAATAAATGACATAATTGTTTTCCATTTTTTGTGAACGGGGGAAAGGGGGGGGGGGGGGGGGGGTTTAAAAAGGATAGTCATGGTTGGGGGAGTGACCCATTGCAGACCAAATAGATTAAGGAGGGATGACCAAAGTCCCATGGAGATTCCACAGTGAATGAAAAGTTGAGGAATCATCTCTCTTCTTGGTGACAAAGAATGCAGCGGTTGGGGACTGATACGTTGCGACGTTGTAGTTGGTATAAGGTTAGTGTCCTTCCATGAAGGAGGACCCAGATGAAGGCTTGGACTTTATGGGGGATAGGGAGCGACCAAGATTTGTTGTGTTGGGGTTGGAAGTTTAGATTTGAGAGGAATGAACTATAGAAAGAAGAAATTGTGAAAGAGCTCGAGGAGGTCAAAGACCATATTAGGGCATCTTGTTGATTCAGTGACCTAAAGATGGGGTCTAGAAGTTGAAGGAGCGAGGTAAAGGAGTTTGATTCTTGCTCTGAGAGGTTTCTCTTGAAAATTGGGGTCCATTCAAGGTTGGTCCCACTGAACTATACATATTCAGCTATAAGAGCTGCTTGGTTGCTAGCCAGTAAATATAGAGAGGGGAAAGATATGTTGAGAGGGGTATGACTAATCCAAAGTTAGGCGAAAACTTTATGCGATGACCGTTGCCTAGTTTGAGTCTAGCGTGATTAAGGAAAGCACTCTTGGTGAAGGAGATGCTTTTCCATGCACCAGAGGACCTATGATGTGGGGATCTACCCAACCACTCTTCATTTCCCATTCTATGTGTAGTACAAATGACCTGTTTTCAATAGACAAGATGAAATGAAGAAAGTTTCCGCCACCATTTACCCAAAGGGTGAGGTTCATAGTTCTTAAATTTTTTATTCCCAATCCGCCAAAGTTTTTTGGAATACAAAATTTTTTCCATGCTATTAAGTGGTATTTTTTGTGACCTACCGTTCCGGACCACAAAAAATCTCGCATAAGTTTTTCCAATTGGAGGATGACAAAGATAGGGATTTGAAAGAGAGAGGGATTTGGTGTTGCTTATATTTTACAAGAGATGCTTACTTATAAATCCGACCATATTAGAGCTCGTCAAGAACTACTTGGTATCACGATCGTTGGAGGAAAGAGGATGCTCCAGAATTTTTTTGATTGCTCGTTCGAGAACTACGGTCTTTGGCTCTGGAACTAAAGCATTAATAGGAAGGAAGCTTGATTAGAATGAATCAGAATGGAGGGAGGCAACATGGGGCAAAGCAAAGGGCAAAGCTTCAATGATTAGGGCTGTTGAAGAACAAAGAATCACATCAATGAATATCGCTGCTCCTCTGGCCCGCCCTAGCATAGCGGTCCTCGCCAGCACAAGCAGATTTTCCACTGCTTATGTTGGTCCCTCTTGTACATAGGAAATGAGACTCCATTTTATTACTACAAATCCATAAAAAAAAGTAGTTTTGTTTCACTCATATAACTATCTGGTTTAGCTCATCAATTAGAATCATTGAATCAATAACGTAGAATATATATATATATATATATATAGGAAGATACTCCAAAATGCCTATAGGCGAAAATGAACAGTGATTTCGCCTACCCTCATCATCGTCCAAAGTTCATCGCACGATCATGATTGTCCGGTAGTATTTCACTTTTCATTTTTTTCTACAAATCGGAATGACCTGAA